AATTGATTAAGAAAACCCCAGGCTATCGCAGAAATCACCCCACTGTAAATGTAGATAGGAACACAACTACAGCTATTAGAAACTGAGATTTATGAAGTCTTGTATAGAAAAAAATAACCTATCCATAGGCCGTCGTCTCGGCTACGTTTGACCCAGAAAAGGTTGGTCGATAAGATTTTTCTAAGCTTGAAAATACATTGAAAATACTAGACATCGCGCACAAGCGCGGTCGATATGGAAAATACAGACCGCCCTCGTTGAGCCAATCGCATTTACGCGATCTTTACTTCAGATCCTCAACGCGCAGAGCAGAAAAATGGTAATTTAATTCATGGGTTAAGCATCAATATTTTACGCTAATTTTGAATTTCGGTCGCGAACCATCAGCTTTGCAACAATTACTCGAGAAAAACACTACCAACAAGGTAAAAATATGTAAAAAAATTATCTGATGTGGCTGTATAAAATGTAATTCTGTTTTTCTTTGAATCAAATGTTTTGGCCTTAAATAGACATGCACAGTCTACGCCATAGATAATACCTGCCTGTTCAAATTTGGCCTCGTTATTTAGCAATCAAAGCGATTTTATCTTAATAACTGTTCCATAACGTTTATTTAGACTACTTTGCACAGTGGCGTCTTCCGCAATTTGATTGGGTAATTGAAAATACTGCTTCGTTAGTTGTGATAATAAAATATTTGGGAAGGGCTGTGTGGAATTTTTCTTAAATGCTGTGTCTCCAATTTGTCTACAGGAAGTTGAACTTTATCTACAACGGCTTTTATTCGGTCGAGAACAAGAGCAAAACATAGAAAACTTCCTGCTCGCTGAAAGTGACGTTTAGAAGATGTAATAAATTCCAAACTTTGCACTTCTATACTTTTAAACACCGGCTCTAATTTTATATCATGCATTATTTGTGGTCTTACGAAAAGCGATACAAAAACGATTTCGGCATGTATAAGCTCCAACACATGGCAAAATATATAATAGTTTCGCTAGCAAAATTTTAAACAACGATTCTACTGATATTTTTACCAAAGAAATTCGTTTCGCATGCTACAATTT